AAGCAGAAAATTCAAGATAACTGCGCCAGATAAAATTAACAAGAAATATCTTAAAAAAAAAAAAATTTCAAAGAAATAACTTTTTAATAATTGAGATTCTTTAGTATTTGTTAAAGAAAGGGTGTTGAAGGATAAAAGATTAATTGTTGATTTCTCGCTTAATTTTTTTTGAATAAAATTCTTCGGTTCGGTTTACACCATTTATATAAACTTTCATATTATTATGTTTAAGGGTATCATAAATTCATACAATTCCCTTCTCAGATGGTTTGTAATATATGAACTATGCCAAAATCTTTCAAATGCTTTATGCTTTGTCCCTTTCAATTGTGCTAATTTTGACCCTTAGACATTCTAAGATTCAAAATAAAGGAACGTTACAATCAAAAACACCAATCTAAAGGTTTAATATAAGTAGTACCAACAGACCATTCAAAGGGCTTCCATTTTTGAATTATCCTACGTACATCATTTAATTATTTTTAATTACGCTAAGACAAATTGTGCGTGCACAGCTTGTGCTACATTGTTTGACATAATTTACATAATTTGAAAGCTTGGTGTTTGTTTGTTTTGTTCTATTGCTTATTATTACCTAAAATGTTTCATCTTTCACAAATGTCCATTTTAGTCTCATTATTATTTCTAGAAGATTTCACTTTAAAGTTTGTCCTCTTTTCATTGTTTCAAATTTCACCACAAAAATTGTGAAAGAAATTTTCCTTTTTTTTTTTTTTTTTTTTTTTTAAAAAAAAAAAATCGAACATCACATATATATTATATTAAAAGTTCGAACATTAGAAATTTTGTTCTTTTTTTATTTTATAAGAAAATATCATAAAAACGAGAGAAAATCCAATTTTTTTTTAAAAAAATGTAAAAGATACAAGCTATCAGCTTTTTTTTTTTTTTTTTTTTATTTAAACTATCATATTATATAATATATTATGGGACATGAAATAAAAATATGTATGTATATATATGTATATATAAAGAAATAAATAAATAAGTATAAATAAAATGTTTATGGTTATTAAAAGATGGGGTTCATAAGAAATTTTGGAGGTTCTGGAGGATTAGGTTGAAAATTTGGCTCGATTGGAATCGGTTGGTAATAATAATGAGAGATAGTAGATGTTAAAACTTTTGTAGGATCGGTTTGGGTAAAATTTCTAATGTCATTATGAAAAGTGGAAATCGCAACTTGAGTCGTAGGGTCCGCTCCGTTTTCAACGTCTTCATCAGGTCTACGTTTTTGTTCCGCATACCAGGAATTTTTGATTTTATTCCTAGAATGTAACCTTTGAAAAACCCTTTTCATGTCTTCTTGACAATTCGCCCAATAAATTTTGCCGGATTCTGATTTATTCTCTTCAACCCATTTATTAATATACACTTTTTCTTCGTCAGACAAAGGTTCATGGTAAACTAATCAAGGAGCAATCAATCAATATATTAAGTTCAAGTTTAAGGAAAGAATAAATGGAAAATTAAATTGCACTCACGAGAAGGGTCGAGTTTATCGTTCCATCTAATAAATTTTACGATAAAAAATAAATTATAAATGTTTACGACTTGAGAGGAATTATTATAGAATTAAACGTTACTTTGAAACTCACAAATGATAAATTTGTTTGGAACTATATCCAGTCTTTTTACTTAATTCTGAATACGGTGTTTTATGATTACGCCCCTCTTTTGATGTCATAAATCGTATAATAATATTACGGGCCTAAAAATTTAAATATCATTTTTAAAAAAAACGTTATATAATTTTTTTTTTTTAAAAAAATATAAAAATCAATAAATGATCATACTTCTGGAACAACTTTCATGTTGATTATTCTTTTGAGTAGGAAAATAAAAGAGTGAAAATGTGTAAAGTTTTGAAATTTTTGGAAAACAGGGAATGGGCTTTTTTATATCTACTATCAAACTATAAAAATAAAACGTCTATTACACAAATAAATGTTTATTTTAATTTTAGGCTATTTTATATCAATTCTCTTTCCGTAATATATACAAAAAGGCTGGCTGATATCGCTTGATAGGCTCAATATTCAAAACTTTACAAAAGTGGGGAAGTAAATAATAAATTTTCAATTACTCTATAAAGTAATGTTAAGCATTAAGCTCCTTACATTTTGTAATAAGTACTTTATTTCCTGATCTTCGATCTACCTTACTCTAGTAAATTAAAATATTATATACATGTTTTTTTTAAAAAAAATTATTTGTTTTTTTTTTGTACACAAATTATTCCAAATAGGATCTTTCAAAATTTGATGTAAAAGATCAAATTTTAATTTGTGTATGATCAATAAAATCATCAATCCATCGTAAGAAAATATAAATGTTTTAAAATTCACAAATAATTGCGGGATAAATATAAATAAATAATTTATTGCCATGTCATACGTCACGCTGTGATATCCTATTTGTCACCATTATATGTCACACACGATCATCCAAAAGCGCCACGACAAATACTACATATTGATATTAAAAATTAAAATTAACCATTAATTAACGTTTAAATTTATCATATCACTGGAAATTTTAAAAATAAATAAATAAAAAAATACCACGTTTGATGATGAGACAACATCTACACTAAAACTATATTTTATATAGCACGCTGGAAATTAATGTTCAAGTTTCCCCTGTAATCTAGCAGCTTTAAATCTAGAAATCCTTTTAGGTCTCTCCTCAATTATAGGTTGTGAACCTGATTTACTATCATCAGCTGAATCCTCAACATCTTCAACATTCTAAAGCAACATTATCTTAAGTTAAATCATTTCAAAAATAAAATATAATATCGCATTCTACATACGTCTTCATTATGTTTTGGTTCAAACGCGGAAGTGAATCCACCTTCTTGTGCTATAAACTGCATTCGTTTTTGATGATATGCCGAAGCGATCTGAAAAGACCCAATCCCGATATTAGCATGTATGAGCGTAAGAAACTCGCATATCAATTCATAAAATAACCTCTTTCATCCAAAGCTCATTTTCCAAAGCTTCCACATCAACATCTTCAGGACGAACATCTTTTTCCACAACAACCGCTTTGACTGGACTTTTTGTTGTAATATTCTCTTTTACACTTCCAACCGGAACAGAGGAAAATGAAGGCTTACGCGATTCTTTTGGAATATGCAATAAATTGGATCGCCTTCCTGACTTAAACAATGACGTAGATCTTTTTTGTTCAGGCTTATTTGAAGACGAAATAAGATCTATATCTTCCGGAGTAATTTTTTCCACATATACATCATCTTCTAGTTTCTCACTTTCTTTTGCCTTCGTTAACATATGCGCGTAAATATCAGCTGGCGATCGAATTGTATGTACTTTTGTAGGTTCCGTAGCTTGATCAGAAAATGAAACCTTTTTACTGCGTTTATATTTCGATTCCTCTTCAATTTCCTCCTCTTCTTCTTCCTCTTCCTCCTCCTCCTCATCTTCATATCCTTCTTCATCTTCTCCAACTTCATCTTCCTCCCAATATTCATCCTCATCTTCTGCTTCTTCATTATAATCCTCATCTGATTCCAGCGATTTTTCTCGACTTTGTTCCTCCTCCTCCTCTTTAATAAACTCGTCTAAATATCCAAATCTATCTTCACTTTCTTTAAAAGCAAATAAAACGTTATCGGTAAAATATTTTTAACAAGCAAATGGATCGATGGAACGATATAAATTAATTTACCTTTAACGTCTGCTTTTTCCCTTTGAACTTGAGTTTGAGCAAACGACTCTTTCTTTTCTTCATCAGATTGATATTCTTCAACAATATCAACAAATGGCAATCCTTCTTCATTAAGCTATACTTGATACCAAAAAATTATTCAATAGTTTCATTCTCTTTAAAACATAAAATAATTTTTATGCTTACCTTTGCTTCTTGTGAATTTGCAAGTCCCAATATGTTGGAGGTCAGCCCAATTTTTGTTCGTTGATTTTCAAGTTGTATTTCCAAATCATCAATAGTTTTTCTCACCACTAATTATTGTATATTATTATAATGTCGGTAATTGACAAATCTAGAAAAAAAAATTCCCAGATAAAGAAGTTCATCTTTTGGTTGCTATTAATCACTCACTCTCCATCCTTCTATCGACGATTCCAACGGCCTGACTTGTCGACCTTTCTACAAACCAATTGTCACCAAGCATTGCCAAAATTTCGTTAGTATGAATTAATTTCCCTGGCATGAACGCTTTATTACCAATTGGGACCTAAGTGATAAATTTTAAATAAATTGATTGTCAAGGGAAAAAAGAAAAAAATAAAATAAAAAGATTTTAAAAATTTAAAATTTTAAAATATTCTTACCATAATTTTATGCTCGGTTTCATGATTTATTTCTTCTAAAGTGTCTTTTAAAGATTTATAATCTCGTTCAAAACTTTTCCAAGTTTCCAAACTTTCTGAAGTGTTTAATACAACTCGTTCTAATTTTGAACGATATAATTGTGTTTGTTCTGAAGTTGAACTTTGGTTAGAAGAATCACCTTTTGATTTAGATGACATTGTGACGGAAAAAAAGATTCGGTAATATAAATAATTAAAAGACGAGAAAGAAAAAAAAAGTTTGATTCAAATTTAATATTTAGGTTTGTGTTACGGGAGATGCAGTGATTTTATAATGTTTAGGTTTATACAGTGATGATCAATTATAACGTTAGATGTTTAAATACTATAATGGATAATAAAATACATGAATGATTCAAAAAATACATAATAAATTTTTTTTTTTTTTTTTATGTAAAAAATCGAAAAAAAGCAAATTCATAAAAAAAAAAATTACCAATTATTTTATTCTGGTAATTTTTGACAGAAATTAAATAATATTTAGAACGTAGTTTTTCTCTATTTTTGAATAAATTCTAAATCCGGAACATCAGATAGGTGGTGCTTGCGAGAAACTGAAGGAATCAATGGCACTGAAGAAGGATCAAAGCTTGGTTTCCCAAAAAGGATTATGTAAAATTAGAAGCTCGACTTCTCAAGTGGGTATCGAGGAATCGGACGAATTACCGGAGGAGCTTGATATCTCGAAGGGGAATTATTTGCATCCGGAAGAAGGTATTGAGGAATCGAGAGAGTTACCAAAGGAGCCTGATTACTCAAAGGACTAGCCAAAGGAGAGGGAGATATCTTAGTTATCTCGTCATAAATTTGAAGCTTTGGTCCTTTGCCTTGTTGATTTCTTTTAACTCGTCTTCTTTCTCTAGAATTCCAAAAATTCTTGAGATTGTTCTCGGAGTACAATTTACCAAACCTATTTTTCATCACCGGAATTAATTTTGCAAATCTAATTGTACCATTCGGTCCTTCTTTATTCTTTTCAACCCATTGAACAATGAAATCTTTTTCATAGTATTTTAAAGGTTCTTTCCAAACTAATAATAACAATAACGAAGAAAATTTAAAACAAAATCCAGGTAGATCTGGAAAATAAATGTTACTTACGATTTGGGTCCAAATGATTTTTCCAACTAAATTATAAATAAAAATTTTTTATTAGGAAAAAAAATATCAATCAAATCAAATCAAATTTGATATTACCGTTGGCGAATTTGCTTCGAATTTCTTTGGAAAGAAAACTTAGCAAGCTCATTTTCAATAATGGCATAAGGGTTTTGTTGTTTAAGTTGATTATGTTGTTTCAACTTTTCCATGACTTCCTTAACGACGTTATCTTCCTAAAAAATATATAATTTTTAGTCAGCCGTTTAAATTTGTTTACTTTCGGTCTAGCTGTTGACAGACCTCCTTTGTAAAGCGTATCTTTTTCATTACAACAATGATTTTTTATTTCTCAAAAAGACAAGTATGAGTTAACCGAGTAAATGGTTTAACGAATAAAGCAATAAACGAGGTATGTATGAATGAAATATAATCGAGTTAATAAAATTGTTATGGAGTAAAATATAAGATGATGAATCTGTAACTTGAAAAAAGCAAGCTTCTTAGAAGTATTATTTTTTTTTTTGGAAGGAAAACAAAATACTTGTGATTTTATGCATTATTGATTTTTTTTATATGGAGCAAAGTAAAAATATTTTATATAGGCAAAAAAGGCGGGTTAACAACAATGATGTACAGAAATGTTTACTTTAGATCTAACTAAAATAAATAATTTGCAAAAAATTACACAGATTTATGCTTTTAAAGGTTAGCGAAATACTGGAGCAATATTTTTTTTTGTGTTCGCAATTTCATTTTGAAACATTTTTATTTCACTCAACGCCACAATAAATAAATGTCTTTATTTTATTGGTTTTTATTTATCGGTAGTAAGTATTGTCGCAATTCAAAACATTACATCATGAATTTCTCTATAAACATTTAAGCTCTTTTGTTCTGATCTTCGATCTACATTACACTACCTAGTAATGAAATAAATATTGTCATATTATTTGTTTGTTTATGAACTTTGAATATTTCCTATCCGGAAATATTTTTAAATATAACACGTTTGAAATTTTTTTTTTATGTAATCGTAAACCAATAATGAGAGATTTATTTTGTGAATTCTGTGAGATATAGCAATATCCTATTTGTCACAGTTTAAGTCACACACGATTAAATCGTCACGTGCTAGAATTCAATGATCAAAAAAATCATTTAAATTCTTTTAAGCCTCTCCTCAATAATTAGTTGTGAAACTGATTTAACCGTTATAAAGCAAAATTTTCATAAATTAAATCATTTCGAAGATAACATAGAATGGTTATATAACATCGCATCCTACATTTGTCTTCATTCTTTTGGTTCAAACGCGAAAGTGAATTCACCTTCTTGCTATGAACTGCATTTGTATTATAAAGCGATCTGAAGTATCCAATCCTAATATTAGCATTAATGGGCATAAGAAATACACATATCATATCATAAAATAATCTTTTTCATCCAAAGATCATCTTCCAAAGCCTTCGCATTATTTTTCAAGGACGAACAACTTTTTTCACAATAGTTGTTTTAACTGTAATATCCTCTTTTACACCTCACTCCTCTTTTCTCATATCCTTCTTCATTTACTCTAACTTCATCTTTTTCCCAATATTCATCCTCCTCTTCCGCTTTTTCATTATAATCCTTGTCTTAATTCCTTCTCATTTTGTACTTCCAAATTATCAATAGTTTTTCTCACCACTAATTATTATACATTATAATTTCTGTAATTTACCTAAAAAAAAATATTTGATATAAGAAACTTTTCTTTTTGGTCGTTATTAATCATTCATTCTAAATCAATTGTCACCCAGCTTTGCCAAAATTTCGTTAATTTCCCTAGCTTGAAAGCTAAATTACCAAATTAGACTAAAAATAAATTGATTGTCAAGGGGGAAGGTTTAAAAATTAAATATTTAAAATATTCTTACCATAACTTTATGCTTCGTTTCAATGATTTTTAAAAAACCAAAGTTTATGTTTACGTGGTAGCACAATTTATCTATCTTTTAGCAGTATACCTCCGAAATAAGCTACCCTTATAGTAAATATCTAATTCATCACATGAATTTTATTATGGATAAATCTTCACGGGAGCTTATTTTCGAAGGTATATGGTATTTATTATGTCCATTATAATACTAATTTGGTTTTTTTTTTTTTTCGGTTGGGCGCTTTTGCAGTAGAAAAGAAGAAATTTCACTTTATATGCTAAAATATGATTTTTTTTTTTCTTTTCTTTTCTTTTTTTTTTTTAGTAAAATAAGTCCAGATTTAATCATAAATTCAAAAAAAAAATTTTATTTTGAGTTTCTATTGCAAAACGTCCATTTCTTTCAAAACGGTATGAATGGTAGTAGTATTGTTTTATTATGAGAAGATACACGTTAGATAATAACAAAATTTAATTCTTTTATGTTTGATTAAATTTATTTATTTTAATTCATCTTTTTATAAAAAAAAATAAAAAAAAAATAAATACATGATTAATTACAAGTGTTATTATTATTTAACAATAATGTTAATTAAATAAACTATTAATGATTTTTTTTTTTTTTTTGTTATGTAAAAATGAGATTACGAAAAAGCGAAATGTATAAATGTATAAAAAAAAATAAGTGGTTCAACCACCTATTAAATATGGTAAGTTTGACAGAAGTTAAACATATGGGACCTTTGCAATAGAAAAGGGGGAACAGCTGGAAAAATAAAAAATGAGTTAATGCTAAATCTGAACATATTTTTTGACCTAAAATCATTTTTTAGAAAATTGAGTTTTTTTCGGCAGTTTCCCCCTTTATATTGCAAAGGTCCCATATGTAAATAATTTTAGCTTTTTTTAATAAATTAGTGGTATTCTAAATTCGGAACATTAAATAGGTTCTGAGGTATGAAGGAAAGTATCGAAGAACCGAAAGTGTAAGAAACATCTAATTTCTTGAAGGGTGGTGTTGGAGAGAATCTGGAAGGATCGAACAAAGCTCAGAAGAAGAATCAGAAGTTTGCATCTCAGTGTGAATTAGAGGGATATCTTAAATTTTGAAGCTTGATTTCTCAAGTACACATCAATTGAAGGATGAACTGAAGGAGCTTTTGTATTAATTGGAAGAGGTAATTGACGAAATACTGAAGGAGTTTGTTTATTAATTGGAAGGGGTAATTGACGAATATTAATTGGAAGAGGTAATTGACGAAATACTGAAGGAGCTTGAATTTTCAATGAAGAATCATGTGTATAAATTGGAGAAAGAATTGAGCGCTCTGAAGAAGGATCGGAGACTTTCCTTAAAGAATTAAAATGTGTAATAGTGGGACTAGCCATAGAAGAGAGAGTTGACATAGTTTTAGATTTCTCTTCATCAAAACGAAGCTTAGATCCTTCGCCTCGTTGTCTTGATTTAGCATTTCTACTTCTTTCTCTGGATTTCCAAAAATTCTTGAGTTTGTTCTCGGAGTGTGATTTACCAAACCTATTTTCCATCACGGGAATTAAATTTACAAAACTAATTTCACCATTCGGTCCTTTATTTTCTATAACCCATTTAACAATGAATTTTCTTTCATTGTCGTCTAAAGGTTTGTGACAAACTAATAATAATAATGAAGAAAAATTAAAATCAAATCCAAGTAAATTTGGAAAATCAAAGTTACTTACGTTTAGGGTCTAGATGATTTTTCCAACTAAATTATAAAAAAAAGAAAAAAAAAATTTTTTTTTAAAAAAAAAATTAAGTAAAATCAAAAAAAATCAAACAAAATAATACGTTGTCCTACCGTTGACGAATTTGTTTATGAGTATAATCCTTTTTAAATTTTTTAGTAAGCTCATCTTTAATCATCGCATAACGATTACGGTCATCTTTAAACTTTTTCATATATTTTTTGATAGCATCATCCTCCTAAAAAAAAAAAAAAAATTTTTAGTAAAAACAAAAATGTTGTAACTGTTGACAAATTTTTTTCAACGTACTTCTTCATTTAATTTAATCAATTTTTTTCTCATTTTATGTCCAATGAAATTTGTAAAAAAAAAAAGAATATTCTTGTGAAATTATTTCTTGTTAGGAGGATAAATTCACTGAGATCCAAAGAGATCATGAAAGGCATGCTTTATAAAACAATTTTATATATAGTCAAAATATCTCGTTAATCAAATGGCATCTATTTAAATGTACACTTGATACTTGTTTGTTTTTTGATTTTTTTTTTTTTTTTAATAAAAATGTTTTTATTTAGTTAGATCCAAACATTTAATTGGGGATAATTTTATCATGCCAACTCGATTAAGATTAAACCTTTTTAAAAAATTTCTATTATACAATTTGCTTTTCCAAATATAGTACTAACAGATACATCCTATTGTAAATGTACATTGTAAATACCTTACTTATCATTTACCAATGTACAATTTCTTTATATTGCTTAAATTAAAGCCGATTCTAAATAAGGTAAAAATTGGCGATTTGTATAAACACGATGTTCATCAAAATCATTTTGTGATATAAATGATATAAATGATCGACGTTTATTAAATTAATTGTAGTGCAAAAATGAAAAAAAAAAAAAAAAAAAAAAAAAAAACACGGGAAAATTAATCCCGTAAAAAAAAAAAAGTTAATATCAACATTTCAAATTTAGTGATGTTCATGCAGATATCAATAAAATACACGCTTGTAGGTATAATAAAATCAGGCATTGCAGCTAATGCTCCGAGCACATATTACAGCACTCTTGATGAGATTCACTACCCAGCTTTTTTTCGTAATTTTTTTCAAGGGTTAGCATTAAATTTCTTTTAAGTTTTTGGCAAAGTATTTTCATATAGAGATTAAAAATTATTTTAATGCATAATTTTTTTTTTGTGAATAAATTGAAAATGCCTGATCTTAGGTTCTTATATTCGTATTTATAAAATAAACGAAGCCATCCTAATTCTTTCAAATGTTTAAAGAACTAATTCTAACCTACTTTTGAAAGGTATAAGTTGTGATGTGTATTGATCGGTGAAAGTAATCTTGATACTATGTAATTTTATTTACTAAACCAGGGCGGGTGATCGTTGACTCATTGTGAATAGATCTTCTTTTAGAATGTTTGTTATCCGCCATTCTTAGGGGCATATGTGGATCCTTTAATTGGGGTAAAATAATTATTTGTTGTGGTACATTAATTAGTATATCGATTTGGTGATTAATATGGATTTCAATCTATGTATGGTATGACATTGAATTTTCCCGGATTAAAGCATAAACATAATCTTCATTCTTCATTACACATAATATTCGGATTATAATGATTTTTTCCTGCAACACGGAATATTTTAAAATGATGATCAAACATTAATTTTAAATCCTTTATTGTGCATTGTAAATAGCTTTCATCTTCCATTGACATTGACAAACATCTAAAAAAAAAAATTTTTTTTTTTTTTTTTTTTTTCACACGCACAATCTTTGAATTATGATTTGTGTTCGGTAATCAAAACATCGTGTGAGATTAATGTTTGGAAGATTATTACAAGTGTTACAAATCCACAAATCCATAGGATTATGTTTGCCTAAATAGGCTAATAAAATTATTGTATCAGAGGGATTTTCAACGTGCTCATTTCGAAGTACATTATAGGATTATAATAGGTCTATAATAGGACTATAATAAAAAGAGATGGGGTGATGTCAAGCATCACGTGAAGAAATAAAAAAATATGAAATCTTTGTAGTAGAAGAGAAGGTGCTGTCGTTGACATTCTAAAGGGGATTTATGTGAGTCGTTTGTGAATTATAAGCCTCCTTTTTCTCCATTGCAAAGGCTTATTTATACCTTTCTTCAGAATTTACTCTATCGTCTTCAACTTGATATATATATTTTTTTTTACTAGTCTTAACGGCAAATTTTGTCATCTATCTGCGCTTCTTCAACGATTTTCTCGTCCATCTTCCTATTCTTAGAAATAATTTCAGTGAGTGATTAATAAAATTTATATAGTACAGTATATAATTTCCAAGTATTTATTTAGTTTAACCCTGAACGATGTATTTGTGTTAAAAAATAATTTTTTTCTTGATCCTGATCTGGTGCAAAAGTCACACGATTGTGCCAGATCACATGATAAAATATTCCATTCGAAAGCCAAAAAGTATTAAAAAAAAATGTTAATAGTGTAACTAAAATTTTAATAATATCCTGAGGAAATTCCTCCTTCGTAACATTCTCCAAATCCCAACCATTTTGAGGTTGCGTTACCTCTTAACAATCGCCCATAAATTTTCAGATCGGACATTTCTAGCAGGAATTCCTTAGCTAAACGCCTCGTATGCTTAGGATCATTATCCTGCTGGGGGCACCAATTATTAAGCAGCATCTATTGATTTCAGGAAGATGATTTCGACATAGACTGTCAAGTTCTCTCATAAGCAAAAGTGATTTTTTGGGGACGACAGGAGCGTTTATGATGGGTGGTACTCCAGTCTTTCCAACTTAGCCAGGTTATAATATATTGTGGACCTTGGTATATTTGTTCGTTGTATTTTGCCAGCATTTCTAATCCACAAATGTTGAATGGATTTTGTTGTTGGTCTTCATTTCGTCGCAGGACTATAAAAACAATTTGTAACAATTAAAATTGTCTGCTATCCCAATTTGGATTTAAATTGGCAGATTTGTGCGACTTTTAAGACCAGTCTTGTATTAAATTTTTGTCTTTGGCTTGATCTATTTCATCTATTTCATCTTATGCAAATAAGTTGTTCCTTGCGTCTTCATTTTTTTAACCTTGCCAAGAAAATTTAAATTTCAAAGTGCAAATAAATGCAATGTGTGTAATCCTATATCGCAACGCAGCAAAAAAAAGGGTATATAGCAAACCTGTACAGTATGGCTTTGAATGTATGTATAGTATGATATTTTTTCATATATGTATAGTATTAGAAACCATACAATTTGTTATGAAAAACCATACATGTATAGTTTTTAAAGTATACATACCTTACATACATTAAAAAATGAACCATACTATACATACATTCGAACCCATACTATACAGGTTTGTGTAATGCCCAAAAAAAAAATTATCCAACGATTGACTTAAAGTCTTTTATCAACTTCTACTTCGACATGAAAGGTTTTGTTCTAAACAAAAAAAAATAAAGAAATAAAGAAATAAGGAAAATACTTTGCTCAAGTTCATTGAAAAAACAAATAATTAATTAATTAAATGAACCGTTTCAATATTTTTCGAAATAACTCCTGGATCTTCTGGAGAATTCAAGACGATAATGTAGAGAGAATTGTATTTATGAAAATTAAATTTGCTAAATGTTATAAATCATTCTAAGGAAAGCAGATATTCCTTAATTATCCTACTTAACTTTTTTACGGAAGGTAGGAGTTTACATTACGGTTTGCTTTCCAATTCATATGGGTCTTTATATCTTAAAGTTGAATCGTCATTTGTTATCTTTATTATTTTCTTGTTTATTAATTATTCAGAATGTTTTATCATATTCCAATTCGTCATTTAAAGTTACCAATAGCATTTACAGGCTGTATGCGGTTTGTATGTACACAGGTTTCATATGATAGTAGTTTAACAGTAAATTGCATTAAATCGGCAAATCCTGAAGTCATTAAACACAATTCTCAAAATGTTAATTCTTTAAAAGAAATTTTTATTGATTTTTTATACCTATTTTATTATTAAATGTAATTTTGAAAGTAAATTTAGGTTTATTAAATTTAGTATTCTTCAGCTTTGGTAGATACTTATCATTAGTCTCTATTTTATCCTGGGGTTTTGCCTGCACAGCATCTGAATCACTTTGAAAATCAGATTCAATTTCCACTTTAAAAGGGAAATAAAAAAACAATATATAAATATAAACGAAACCGTTAACATATAATTTTTATTTATAAAATCAAATAATAAATAATAGCAATAATAATTACTTTGAAAATCTTTAGAAATATGAAGTTCAATTAATCGTGAATCTAAACCTAGATAAAATAATACAAATAAGTTTGAATATCCAATTAATATGTAAATAGATTTTTAAAATTTACCTTTAGTTATTTCAAATTGCACTTCCAAAAAATTTTTTGATTTAGAAAAGTTCGGAACACGTAACGAACGACTTGTATAATATGCTTGAGGATGTAACGTCATTCCAGATGAGTTTCGAGGACCAATTGTATCTGCATTAATAAATTCCTGAACATATTCTACTTGCCATTGATTTATTATATTAATTAATACTTTCGCAGAAGGTCTACTTTTTGGATTAGCATCGAGACATTGATTAACTATATCAACATAACGTTCTGGTGTTCCTTTGGCAACTCTTGGACGTAATCCTTTGATAATTTCTAATACAAGATCAATATCATGTGATTTATTTCCAAAAGGTGGCATACCGGTTGATATTTCTGTCATAATTATACCAAAACTATATATATCGCTTGCAGGAGTGTAAGGATTTTTATTTAATATTTCAGGAGCTATATAGGGAAGTACCCCACTTATATTTGAATTTGTATTATTAAATGCAGATCGTGCAAAACCCAAATCTGTGATTTTCGATTCTTCATTAAAAATAAGCACGTTTCCACTATGTAGATCTCCATGAACATAATTTAATTCGTGAATTTTCTCTAAATTTTTTGCAATGCCAAGTAAAATTTTTAATTTCTTCTCCCACTTTAAATCCGAATAATGATTTTTAATATAGTCTTTTAGGCTACCATTCTTCGCAAATTCCAAGACTAACATAAATTCTTCCGTTACCGGATCTTTTGTTATCCCATAAAATTGTGTTAATGTATCGTGCCTTTGAAATTCGTGATGTATTTTTATCTAAACAAAAAAAAATTTGTTAACAGGTTTAATTAAGATTAATAATGTAAGCTTATATGTTTATATACCTCATTTATAAGAATTTCTGACATATTATTTGAACCTTTAATCTTTTTAAGTACAACCGTAATGGGATTAGAACGACTTTTCTTCTCATTTGAAACTTTTGGTGATCCGTCCGACCAAGTAGCAGAATAAATTCTTGCAAAACCTCCTTCATCAATTTGTTTAACATCTTTGAACCTATTAAAAGAAATCCATTCCAAATTATGGTGGTAATGTTTTGCCATATGTTGTAATTCATTTATCAATTTATCCATTTTGGGGTTTCCACTTGTCTTTCCTTCTCTTAGAAATCGACCTGGATCACATTTACCGCACCAAGCTTCTCCGGTATTTGATTTTTTACAATCAGGACATATTCCATATTGATTATTCTTCACCTTGTCATATCGATGTATGATTAGGTTTTTACATTTATTAGCTTTAGCGTTAGGAACTGGATATGTAGAGAATCAAAAAAAAAAAAAAAAAGTATTAAATGACAAGTTTCTAGGAAATCCAATGTATCACATGACATATTATACTTACAACACTTACAACGGTTATTATGTATATTAGTTTTGAAAGGGATATGATAATTCATTATGAATTTTAAGTAAAAAAAAAAAAATGAAATGAAAAAAAGAAAAAAAGAAAAAGAAAACAATTTTTTTTTTGATTTCTGAAAAAATTAAAAACATTTTAATATATTTGATTTATTATTAGTGATATATTTATATATACAAAAACGATCCCTAGTACCTGATATGTCTGGTGCGTCTTTTTTTATATATTGAAGTAAACCAATTTATTTGATGTTTTAATGCGATCATATCTTGAAATTTCCCGATATAGTACTTTACAGTAGAAAAGGAAACAACTCTAAAAAAAAATTTTTTGAGTTAATGTTTAAATTTGGTAAATATATAGTATATACTGTAGTATAATTAAATTTATTTCTCTTGTCTAAAAATATAATAAAATCTACATTTTGGTATTGACTTCTATTACAAAAAATCCAACTTTTGTGGATCTACTACAAAGCGCCCAATATTTATTTGTTTTCACGGTAGATCCTATTTTGGAATGATTTGATGTGGTCACTTTGTCTTATTACCTAATTTGTCTTCATACAAATCATACAAACAAATCATTGGTGACAAAATAATCTTAAATTTTTGGGGGGAAATCGAATTAATGATCAAATGATAGGTTTATTTTTTTGTTGAATCTAAGAATCCAAATATGGTATGGGCAAATTTATTTATTTTGAAATGTACAATGGTATGCTGTGCGTTGGGATTAGTTAGTTAGGCTAATGTGTTCATTCTTTTTTTTTTTCGTAAGGTTGAGTAATTTTTTTTTCCGATTAAACAACTCGTGCCAGCACTAAAAATTTGATCCAACGTTAACGCTCACTGACCGAAATTATAAGTTCGGCGCCATCAATACCTTGCTTACAAGAGCGTATTAAAAAACACTATACGTTCGTTGTATGTGACTTAGAAAAGATTTTTTAAACGATTTACCAGGAATAAAAGGTCTTTTTATACTTCCAATATAAATAGAATATTATCATATTCAAATCAATATCCATTAGTCATCAATCTTAATAATCAAATTCGTTTATAAAGTTTCTTTTCTGAAACATTTATTCAAGTATTACAATGCGTCTTCATTAGCAATTATATTTAAAATCATTTAGATATAATAGAACGTTCAGCAAATAAAGATTATGACATCTTTGCATACAAAAAATATTTTATTAATTACATCATTCAAAAAAAAAAAAAATTAATATATAAAGACTGAAGATTAATTTTTTATATTAACAATATATACATTAATGAGGCCATCCACCAGCTTTTGGCTGTGCAAGCGTTTAAGAATCAAAAATATACATTTTATTTATTATCGAACGATAATGAAAGAATACTTATATTTATCAATTTTGAATCTGTTAAATCTAAATAAATAGATAAACATAAATAAATATTAAAATTCAATTAATATAATTAATATACGACAAATATTTTTTTAATTTACCTTCAACTTGAAGTCCCGTAAAATTTGTAATATTTCTTCGTTGTCGAGAAACACCAAAAGTACAACTTGCTAGAGGGTGTAAAGTTGTTTTTATATCAGCACTATCAGCATTATCAGCATTATTAAATTCCTGAACAGACTCTTTACGCCATTTTTTTATTATCTTACTTAAATCTTTTGCGGAAG